CTGCTCCTCTTCTTCAGGGTAGGTGCAAAGGTTGTTCTGGTCCTTCTCCTGCCAGCCAGACTGCTTGGCCAGATGCAGCACTCCATGTGCAGGGAGACTGGAGCAGCAAAGCTGAGGCACAGAGATGTTTGTATTGGAAGTCTTGATTCAAATTGCAGCAGACAGGGGCTAGTTCAGAGGTCTAATTCCCTTGCATATAATCCATCCTTGCATTCAGACTACATGAAAGGGAGGAAACAAATTCTGTGCTCGTGGACAGAGGTAAGCAGAAACGGCAACTCCAACAGTTCATGCATCACACGTATCACGTTGAACACCCCCTTCCCCAAACAGCCTTGCCCAAGTTGATATTCACTATAAGTTACAGGAAGATGGCACTGTATCAGCTGCTGGTAAAGAGGGGAACAAAAGCAACAGAGAGCTGAGCCTTGCCCTGTGGACCTCAGGACAGAAGAGCAGCAACTCTCAGCACCAACACATCCCTCAGGTCTCTTGCTGCCTGGTGACATCCCTAACCCACAGTCAGACTCTCAAGGGTTGTGTGTACCCAGGAGAGGTGCTGATGAAAGCTGAACACTGAATGGGGAAAGACCCCGCCAATCAGTAGCAAATGCTGAGGAAAGGGCTGTTACATAAACCTCTGCATCCCCAGGGCACTTGCAAGTACCGAAGGGAAGTGCCCAAGAAAGCTGAATGGTGCCACTAGGATCTGGAAGCTGGTTGCTGCCTGGGGAGGGTATGTGGGGACCGCTCCTGGGACCCAGCCCTAACCCCTAAGGAACATTTACTTATTTTATGCCACACATAATTCAAGGCGGTAAAACACAAAAATGTTAGTCTCCTTGCTGAACCTCCAGGTCTTTGTAATAATCTGCTTCTGGAGGTGTTCAAATCCGTTCTCACCAACAATGAACGCGAAGTTGCATCTTCCACAGTGCAACCCAATTCCCTGTTCCCTGGGGTACAGACAGCAGCTCTCACATGCCTCCACAGCCCCTCTTTGCTCAGGCAGGCTCAGCTGCTATCTCAGCTATTTTGAATGTCCCTTGAGTTCTGGCGCTGTTGCAGAGCAGGGTTTCTCACACCACAGTATCTCCACAATACTGAGAAGAAAGGGAGCCCTCTCATCCTGCCCTCTGTCAGTTTGCATCCAGCACTTCCTCCCCTTAAAAACAAGCCCAGCCTCCTCCGTCCAGCTCAAAACATCTGGGACAAATATGTCACAAATTCAAGTCAGAGATAACACAACAGGGGACAACGCCCAAAATAAAACAACAGACAAGAGATTGCCCCTCCACAAGATCCTGCCTCAGGTTTCTACCTCGGATGCCCCATCACAGTGGCTAAACCCATGAAAGCTGCACTACAGAAGCCTCTGAGCACAGGGATTAAGGCAGGCCCCCTTAAGGCAGGCCTGTACCCAGGGCGTCCAGAGTGCAGCATTCCAGGGCTGTCTGTGCTGCACAAGTCCCAGAGACTACTGCAGAGCAGCTGGAGGAGGCTTTTTCTGTGGCTGCCTTGTGGCTTCCAAGGTTGTTGGTTAGGTGTAGAGCTCTGGAAGGTGCAGAGGGAATTAAACTCCCCAGTGTACATAATGAAGCTCCTGAAAAGCTGTCTGTATAATTAGCTGTGTACACAGCGAACACAGTCACCAGGGACAGTGCTTTTGCTCCCAAGGTTGTTTGCAGAACCAGAGCTTCATTCATGTCCTGTTTCGTTTCCCTCCAGCACAGAGGAAGAGTCACGTCGCTGTGCCCAATTCCTGCAGCTGTTGTGTCTGCACAGAGCCACGAACCTCAGACACCCATGCAGCAAACCAGTTCCCCTCACGCTGTTTGGTCTGGACCACAAAGGTGCCTGACACTGGAAACATCTACAACATGAAGGCTCCTCACAGCTGTCTCCACAGAAGACCTTCCCACTTTACCTTACTGCAGAGAAAGCAGTACAACCCTTCCTAGGGAGGAACGAGCTATAGCCATAAAAAGGAGCAATTTTCTCATTGAGGGAAAGCAAGCAGGGCTCTTGCTAGGAGATACAGCCCTGCACATTCTAGGACTGGTACAAAAACAGGAGTTCAAAAACATTACACACCACTGGCATGGGGATGTTGAGTTTGATCTGCCTGGGCTCTGGGCCAGTGTGAGATGAGCCATCTCTGATCCTCAAAGCTGTAGTGTGTGACAAGAGTCTGGGATGAGACCCTGTATCTCCCCAGCGCTTCGGAGGGGCTGAGCCCCATGTTCATACTCTCACACAGTCCTAGGGTCAGAGATAACTGATCCTCCCTCCACCATGCCTGTTGCATGGGGCACACACAGGCCTGCCAAGCCTCATACATTGCACAGAAAACTCCAACACCAAAGTTAAGGCTTCATTTATGCTCTTCCAGTCCAGCACTGAAACCTCTGCCCATACCCATGGGCTGAGCCACCATCCAAAAGCAGCAAGACTTTCTGACACCTTAGAACCTTACCTTCTCTTTGGGGCTCAGCCTCCTGCTCTCAGCACCTTTCCTGTACTTCCGCAGCCCTTCTTCAATCCGCAAAAGCCACAAGAGCATCCAGCAGGATTCAGGCATATGTATTGCCACTAGACACACAATCATTCAAGAGGTCATCTGGTCCAGATAGTTCTCTTCCCTGTCCCTACCAATGGTGAGGACATGCTTTGCTCTGCTCACCACAGCATCTCCTGGGTAAGCTCACCAAGCAGAAGAAAGGCTGCAGTGCAGCCATGTGATGCTACCAAGCTAGGCCCCCCATGCCAAGGAGTGCTGCTAAGAAGCACAGTCTTCACTTGCAGCTCCAAGACTAGCATTTAAATCCAATACACCAAACACAGTGGCAGGTATGTGACCCACCTTGAGCAATTTCATGCTTCAGAGAAAAAGATGCTTAAGAGGTCTGCAGAGATGGCTCCCTCCAGCTGTTATATGACTGTACCTCTGCTACACACATGGGCCAAACCTTACAGCCTTGTAGGCTCCAGCTGATGACGGTGACATCTTCACTTCTGGGACTACATGCTAGTGGCGGATGGTCACTATGAAATTGCTGCTCAGAAAAGAGGACACCTGAGTAAAACAATTTTAGGGGCTGAGGGCAGGTGCCTCCATTTTTACCAGCCTAAAGAAAGAAATACGTAGCACGTAATGCCCCATACTCACCTCTCCCTTGACATCTTCAGTGTTATTACCTAGCTGTGTCCACAAGCAATACCACAAGTTCTCATAGGCCACACACAAACCAGAGGTTAGTGAGCACTCAGCTCTGACAAGGGGAGAACTGAACAGAGAGGCAGTTTACCTCTCTCTCCTCTCCTCCTTTTCCTATTCTTTTCTAAACCGCCTCATTTATGAAACAATTCTTGGCTGTTGTATTGACCATGGAGCTTCTAAAACTCCATGTTGCCCACTGCCTTGCAACACAGGGAGGCCTCCCTGTGCAGGGAGACAGTTTCCCAGCCTTGCCAACACAATGCGCAATCCTGAATACTGTTTTGGTCATACTGCTCTTCCTTGGAAATGTGTTGCAATTTTGATTCCCCATACCAACTCTTATGGCATTGGCTTGCTTTAGTCAAGCAAAGGAGAAGTAAAGCACTAAAGAAGGTAAGTCCACCTGCATGGGAGACAGAGACTTAGGGAAATGAAAGACATCAGCTTCATCCACATGGAAGAGGCAACCTGCCTCTCTATTGTACTGAAAGCTTCCCTGCTGTGGCCCTCATCATGGAGGCTGGCAGTTACTTTGCATCCCTTCCAGCTCCTGACTTCTCCCTCTGTGGTGGGGAGCTGTGTTTGCCTCATCTGCAAGAACAACTTCTTTCTATTCCCAGTTCTTTGCCTTGGGCTAATCTCCGAGAAGAGCTGAGGTTTCTCAGCTCTACGCCTTTTAGGCTCCCTGTCCCAAGCCAAGTCTCTCAAGACCTGAGAGACAATGCAGTCACTGTTTGACAGAAGCATCCATACTTCATGCCAAAGGATGCTGAGCCAAGTGTGAGGCAAGCCTACTGCATGCATCTAATACAGCAGAACAAGGATGGTTCATACACTTTGCCTGCAAAGTCCTCATCCTCTGTACACCAGCGCTGGGACCTCTGAGGAATGTCCAAGGTCAATACACAGACATTAGCCTTTCCATCTAATGCAGTATGGAGATATCCTCTGTCTAGCAATGCAACTTTATACTGCCCTTCTGCCAAAGCTCCTCTTCCTCTTAGCCTCAATCTGCATCTTAGGCTCATTCATTTTTGCTGCACCAGCTCAAACCTGCTGTACCCAGTGCTGTTCTGACCCCAAACCTTCACAGAAATCTCTCATCCTGGTGGAAGTATCTGCTGACGATGGGTCCAGTCCCATGAGGAACGACTCTTAGCAACCAGTCTGAATGATTAGGCATTGCAAGCCTGGTTAAATTCAGAGAAAGGAGATTTTTGAGCTCGCTCACTCAGAAATGCACAGGCTTTGTCCTTAAGTGAAAGACACGGGGAGTGGCAAATCACATATTTGCATAAAAATTCAGGGTATTCACTTTCTGCTTTATTTAGTAAAATAAATGGAAAGGTTCATGTGACGTCAAGCAACCAATCTGTTCCTAGTGTCAGGAGAGGCTCACGGTGGATCCCAGCATGGCACCAAAAGCAAAGAGAATGAGGGAAACAGATCTCTGGGAACTACAAGCTTTATCTCTGATATTGCCATTTTGCTATATCATCCTTTGCTCCAGCAGAGATGTCATTGAAGGACACACTGTAGGGCAATACCAGAGCTCCTGGAGTGCTGAGAAAAGACAGCTGGAGCTAACAAATTAGAAGGGAGAAAAGATTCCTATAGAGGACAGACAGCATATAAGTACCATGCAGATGGGAATCTGTGACTGACTTGGGCCCCTTAATCCTGCTATCTGAGGAATTCTTGAGCTTCAGGACTCAGTGAACTCTTCATACACCAGAAACAGATGACTCTGGGCATAGTTATCCTGTTGGCCGAGAAAGAATCAGAGCTCCTCATTGAGGGCCTTCTCCTCAGGCTCCTCTTCTTTCTAAAACACATTAGAGGTATGAAATCAGTTTTGATGTTGCTCAGTTTCTCAGCATAGTGATCAAAGGAAATAAACCAACTTAAATGCCTCCCTTTGCTGTCTATGCCACTGCTTTGCCTATCCCATTTCAATTGCACAACATGGTACTGACACACAAAGTCTCTGCACTATAGGAAGATGAGCTTTAACAGAGAGACAACTCTTCACACTGAAAGAACATGGAGATTAAATTGTCCCTTTCCCAGCAGAGACCTCTGGTAGAGTCCTGAGCCCTTGTCTGTATATTGTTTCTGTGGCCTTCTTGATAGAATTCCTTCCTATCCATGTCACTGTCTCTCTGATCCTCTCTCATGTGCTGGCATCCACCACCTCAATTCTCACAGTCCAAAAGTATCCTCCACTCTCACCCCAGCTGCTGTTCACAGAAAATATGTGCTTTACCAAGAGCTTCATACAGTTGCAGAGGTCAGTGAAGTCTTCTTGCTGTAGACTAGAAGGCAGAGGTCAATGAAGAAAGAGGTTCTGCAAAGACATCCTTCTCTGCTCTGCTCTAGATCTAATGCTTTTCTGATACTCAGGTGTAAATGAAAATGAAAGAGGAGGTGGCAGGGGTGGGGAGGAGTTCAAGGAACTAATGTCATCTTCTTCAAGAACCTTGTGAGCAACAACATCATCCCACACGACCCCAGCTTCCTGTAGACGGTACAGGAGTCCCCCATTTACCTTCTGCACTCTTTGTAAGAAACGATTACAGAAGTCCTGTACACGCTCAACAGAGACTTCATCCAGAGTCAACACATCCTGCTCCTCATCTGGTGTGTGGAATATAGCCAGAGCTGGCAGCTGGGACTTCTTCAGTTTGAAGAATGACACTGTTCGTTCATTGCTCTTCAAATTGCTGTCTACCAGGATAAAGAGAATCTGTGATGAAAATATGAGAGGAAACATGAGCAAGACAGAAACTGAGAGCAAGAACAGATCCCCAAACAGTGATCACATGAAGATTAACGGTGATATTTTTATAGAGTTAGAGAAAACCTACCACACTCTGTTAGGACAACACTTCCCTCTGCCACTATCTAGCTGCTCCATGTAGTGCATTTTTCTGTATTTTATCAAGTCCAGACTTACACTACCGAACAAAATGTCTGCTTTCACTTTCTTTAAAAATGTGTCTACAGTATGGCAGGAAGGCAGTGTCCGCTTCTATTCTCTTAATAGATCAGGAAACAAGATGTCTTTTATTTTAGTGGCACACGTGAAAGAAGCTGACTCCTCTATTTGCATGCTGTTTGGATAAGATGCTCACATCCATGCATGACCCAGTGTGGCAGACTAAAAACGTGTTTTGGTGTGTGGAGAATCCAGCTCAACTGCAAGAATTTGGGAGTGGAGTATAGGGCAGCAGAGCCCTGCAAGTATAAGAACATGAGAGTACCAAACACCATTTAAACGTATTTAAGTGAACTGCAGTGAATACAAATGAAGATAAGAACATGAGAGTACCAAACACAAAGCACTTATTTAAGTGAACTGCAGTGAATACAAATGAAGATGCAATCATTTGGGAAACAGCTGTTGGCAAGACACTAATGTCCATACTAACCAGCTCAGTGGAGGGTTGTTCAGACCTGGGGAGAGAAGCCCAACAGTGAGTAAGTCAGGATGAGAATGACCTACATTTTCTGGGCTCCCAAATACTCTTTCAGAGCAAGATCAAGCCAAGGATTAGGCTTCTGCTGGGATGATTCAATGGTATAGATTTATCAGAATTGGTGATCAACTCCATGATTTTATTTCAAAAGTAAGTTTCAACTGAGATCTTACAGGTGCAGTAGGAATTGGTACAAATTTAAAATTTTGGACTCTGAAAGATTAGCAATAAAACATACAGCTACCTCAAAAATCTTTGTTAAATTATCTGTTAATACTAAATACAAACATTACATACAAATTTTATAAAAGGAAATAAATACAGCAATTGAACAATTTAATCAGCAACATGATTAAATAGAAACCCTTGGCAGATGACATCCAAGTCAATAAAACAAACATCCAGCTAATGTGTGTCATTTTATCTTCTCTTTATCCTGTGCAGTCTACTAGGCCTAGCATATTCAGTGTACCTGCGGGTATGGATATGACTGAACTTACACAAGAAAAAAAGAATTTAAAAAAAGAAATGTAATGCAATGTGAATATGATGTGTCCTGTTCCCAGGCTGTGACTCATGTTTTTCTTCCTTTTCAATCAAGAACACTCAAGTTAGTTTAAAACTTTTTTTTTTCTCTAAAAATAAACTTGGTAAATCTCAAATTCTTTACTTTATTAAATTTATGTTCTATAAAAAACCCAAATATATCTGGAAACTTTCCTAGGCAACAGCCTATGGGAAAAAGGGATAGTTAGGCTGGTGTAAGGTTTAACTTCAGTTAATCACTGTGATACAGAAACAGGAACAACATTTTCACTGGATATGTGATATATACCACTCGCAATTTCTCTTCCAAAAGTCAACTGTGCCCCAAGGGAACAAGCTAGTGAGCAGCCAAGATGTGGGGAACTTCTCCCAGAGTGCTAAATTCATCCTTTTGCGGGACAAAATACCAAGCTAGAGAAGGGTCACAAATCTAAGGATCACAGGTCTAAGGCCTGATGTAAAAAGCTTTCAGCTGGACCAGCAATACTTATGGTTTAAGGCTCTCCTTCCAACTAGCAAGCTGGAAACAGAGGCCGGTGTTGGAGGGAAGCACTTTCAGAGGGCTGGTACAGGAAATGGTATCACATTTTCACCAGTTCATTCACCAGCTTTTGGGATTCTCTATGAAAGATTCACTAGAAAACATTTTTTTTAACCAAATGTTAAACAAGAAGTTAATTTTAAAAATAATTCAGAATACCTAGGTTGTCAAATGTTGTCACTTTCTACACAAAATCTTCTCCAACTTTAAAACAGATCAACAGTATTTTAAAATGGCAATATAAATAAATGTTAGTCAACATTCTTCTCTTCATCAAGCTTCCAGCCTTTGATAAAAATAAGTAAGAATAAAAGAATAAAAAAGGTTGGGGTTTAGAACTCCAAATACCTTCTTCCCTACAGAAGAAAACAAAACTACAGAAACAACTGGCCCCTCAGCTAGAAGGGCTGAGATATCATCATTCATATTTCCTGACTTGAATCTCTCTAATGACTCACACTTGGCTTGCAGATTTACTGGGTGCCAAAGCACAGTGAAAGTTTCCTTCCCCTCTTATATTCCAAAAATACTGGAGAGACAGCAATTGCGTTTGTCCACTGTTGCTCGAAAGAAGACACCTTAACGCCTATGACATGCGTTTTAGAATGACACATTTCAGGTAGGTGCTGTGACATGGGATGAATCCTCCTATAGCAAAAGAACACACCATGCATCCTATGCTGGATGTGCTCCAGGGGTCCTGCCAAGGCCTGTGTGGCCTCAAAGTCACACCTGTGAGGTGGTCTCTAAGGTGTGTTGGTACTGAGGCCACAAGCACCAGAAGCCTGGTCTCCTCAGCAGCTGGAAATCAATCAGGCCTCTCAATCAGGGATATTTCCACAACAGATGCCACCTGATGGAACTGGCATTTTCTCATGAGGAATTTATTTTGTTCAGAGATTCCCAGACAACTCTAATCATAAAGAATGAATGCAGTGACCATGGAAAATTGTACTGACCATGAGACAAGATTCACCTTGCCTAACTTCTGCCATCTAGATCTTAGTCTTGTCTCAACCAGTCATCTAGGTAACCTCTACAATAAATTGTGACAAGCACTTTATTCCACCTATTTTAGAAGCGAAGGAAGGACACACCTGTCCTTCTCTACCAGTGCAGAAAAAAGCCTAAAGCCTTTGCTCAGACAACTTAGCAAAGCCATAATTCACCAAAACACATCCCATTTATGACACCAGCTCTCACGTCACTGCTAGAAACTGGGTAGTTACATCCCAAACAGAAATTTCATTTTCTATTTCGTCTACCCTGTACAATAGCTGGTTTTTTCATTCTGAAACAATTTCCATTAAATTGCTTCATTTTGTAGCAATGTTCTTGCCTCTTGCAGAGGTCTGCTGCTATAGGCAGTGAAGGATCTCCTGCATGGATGACGAACTCCTGACACAAATTCTCCCATCCACACATTATCTGTGCACTGTCACCTGCAATAAGCTCTTTTTCAGAAAACTTTGTACACTGGTGCTGTCTTGGTGTCTTGACAACTTGATTCCTAGCCCAGTGCTTTTAGAACATTGAGTTCCTGGTAAATACTAAGATATGGAATGATGTTATTGCCCAAGGAATTAAAGTTAATTGAAAATAGTACTGCAATGGTAGAAACCAATTTGATGTTGCTTAGTTTTTCCTCTAACAAAGACAAACAGGAAGGTTGATCAAGCCTCATATTCAGTGTTTGACTTTGAACTTCATGAAGCTGCAACCTTCATTCTTTGAGGAGACTGTATAAGCAAAAAAGATGAAATTCTGAAGTTTGAGTAATTTCTTACATAGCTTACATCAAAGCAAAATGAAAACATCAGTCATTAATTTAAAAAAAAAAAAAGCAAGCTATGAAAACAACTTTACTGCAGATATCTGTTAAGTGCTGTAGACAAACCATATTTACAGGCTCCCCTGTTTATGGTTAAGAGAGGCATCTCTAAATATCTCTCTCAGTTCTGGAGTCATCAATGTCTGACAAGAAAAATAAAAACTGTATGAATGACCATCTGCAAGAGAAAGGACACCAGCCTTTCATTTCCATGGAAGAACTCCTGAAGGACTCTCAGGAGTTTCTCAGAACCCATTTCTAAATGGGCTTACATATAAATTAAAAGGGACTTTGTAAACATCTGTACGCAAATCATTTTGACATCGTAAACCAGTTGTATCTGTTAGAAGCAAAAGCTGTTTTTGTTATTCCTATCACCTTACTGAAACTTCTGCAAACACCCATGAGGTACACCAGCTGTAATTGCCATGTTATGCTCTGGTACTGTGGAAAGAAAACTGAAGATGCTTATGCTAGTTTGGCTCAGCAACACGAACTCTGACATTTCCTTTCCAGCAGAAAGCCTGGACTCTTGGCAGTACTTTCTCAAATAAGTACATATTTGATTGCAGTGGGATCCTTCCAAGAAGGCTGGTGGATTCACTCCTGCAGCTGCAGTGCTCTGAGCTCTGTATGTTCACTGCTATCCACCCACAATTGTTCCTCAAAGTCTGCTAGAAAAATACCATATTTCCTTACTCTTGTCAGCTTTTGCTAGCTTAGCATCATCTAACATTTGCACTTTTCTCTCCAGTATTTTGTAGCCCCAGATTCCATGATAAAATCTCAAGGAATCTAGACTGCCTTCAGACACTCATTGCTGCTCAAGGTACAGTTCAGTCTATTTCCAAATAACAGTCCTCAATATACAGCCTTATGGATCCTCCAGCTGAAAATCTCAGCTTCCTTTCAGGCAAAAATTAAAAGATCATAAACTAGAGATGAAGGGACCGTAATCCAGGAACTGGCAGGTGAATCACTTCCTCATGATCCATTAACAGTTGGACTCGATTAACTTAAAGGCCTTTTCCAACTTAGATGACTCTATGATTCTATGATTTTCTTCACTCTTTGGGGTCAGCCACTCATCAGCAGCAGTTCCTCTTTGTCTCTCCATCAATCTAAACAAGTTTCTCTTCTCCCTGCAGCTGATGATGACAATGACAAGGACTCCTCTTCCCTCAGAATGCAGCAGAGATGTGTGAAAGGTTCAGCACCCCTTCTCCTGCTTGGGAACCCTCTTGAAGCTCTGTTTGTGTTCTGCACTCACTTGTACAGAAGTTGCAACACACACCGAGTCTCCACGCTCTGTTCTGGCACTCTACAATCACTGTAAAGTGCTGCCGGATGCAGTGGTACATGCTCACAGGGAGCCTGAACACCTCTTGCCTGCACAGCAATGATTCCTTGCTTGAACCACTGACAGCACTAACCCTGCAGCGCAAACAAGCCTTTCACTACCAGCCCACAGACTATGAATTATTCACTGGTAATCCTGAATAAAATTCAAGAATCTTGAATTTCTTCACAGACAATCTGCGAGCCACAAAAAGGCAAAATCTACTCAATACTTTACTTGTTTTGAAGCAAACCTGAGTTAACCTGGTAGTCCTGAGTACAGATAACTCCACTTCGGAAAATTAGCCTGCAGATTTCCATGGTATTGTGCAGTGACTTCTTCTGATACTCAAACTAATTCATGTCTTTCTACATGAGCAATGGACACAAACTTAAGTGGGCATATCACTCTACTTTCTCCTTAGTATCCAGATCTAAGACCCAAACACACTGTAAGAGAGCAGTTCAAATCACAATTTACTACTCACAGTGCCACTCCTTTGGGAACAAAAAACTTATTAGACTTTAAGTGCCTTCCTCTGTGTGTCCTGCAGTACCACTGCAGTAAAGTGGAAATAATTTGTCAAATCCCCACATCTTTAATCTCTATATTTTACTTTGGCAAGCTTCTAGACTGATTTGGTGGGAAACTTGCCTGTATGAACAAAAAAAAAGGTTAAATTTGGATTGCTGGCAATCAATAAATTATCTGGACTTCAGTACAACATTTTATCCAATGTCTTGTGAAGTATTTCTAGGAAAATTATTCACATTTGTTCAGATCTAGGCATGTCACATGAAGAAAACTGGCTGCAGCCACATCAGCAAAGGATAGTGATGCTAAACAGCAATGCACTGTGTCAGAACTGGCTGCCTGGGAGAAGACCTGTATCAGACTCTGCTACTTATGGAGGACAGGGATAATGGTGTCACTATAACACACATCTCACATGAGAAGGTAGGAATTATTCAGGTAAATGAGTTTTCTTTTGTCATTATCTATTCATCAAAGCAAAACACTTTTGAAGAGATCTTTTGACTTCAATGCGTGGTTTCTGCCTGGTCTCTTGCCAATGGGTGGGACAGATGGCAAGGTCCAAATTAGTCCTACCATAAATGAATCTCAAGACTTCTGAGGGTGCACAGGTCTGAAGCAGCCCCTCCATTTGAAGATGAGGATATATATACTTGATTATTTTAATCTGACCCTTCAGTACCACAAATAGATGCATGCAGATGTTAAAAACTCTTTCCAGCTCCACCCTTTTCAAAGGAAGATCTCTTCCACTGCCTCTCAGCTTAGCCTTCTCTGCTGCTGTGATCCTCTGCCCCCTCCCATCTGCCATTCTCCCCTGCCCCAAATGCCTTCCTGTTGTTCCCAATCCTTCTTTGCTTGCCAGTTCTTTCCTCTGTTCCCTGGACGCAATTTTCCCTGTAATCCAGCTGCTGACAGAGAATCAGACATTGAAGATTTACTGTCTGGGGAGCTCTGCCCACAGGCTGGGAACCAGGCAAAACTTCTCTGAAAGACCCCATTTGTCCCATCATCTTAGTGTGGGAAATCCAACAAACCCATTTGCAACTTCTTTAAAATAGCTATTTCTCCGGGACGCATCCAGAAAGCTAAGGGTTAAGAAGCACCACAACATTAATTGCTGTCTGGTCACTTACATAATGCTCCTTGGCATCTTGCAGGCTGTATATACAAGATCACCTCTCACACCAGTGGAAAGCAACCATCGCCAGATTGAAGCACAGCAGCTGTTTGTCATCTCCCAATGCAAGAGAACAAAACTGGACCAGAAGCAAGGAAGTACATAATGTCCCACTGAGGGAGCAGAGGAGCAGGATACAGAAGATATTTTCCCCACAAAGAGGCAAACTGGCAAAAGGTGAACAGATCCAAACCCTGCACTTAATTATCCAACTAACACTCTTTTCCTGCCACTTGGCCTTTGCTCCCCTAATGCCCAGAGAAGGAGATTATGCCCTCCCTATCCATGGAAGAAATCACTGTTCTCCCTTTTTTCTCCCTAATGGCTCCCCTTCCTCTCTGTTTGGACTTACCTTCCCCTTGAAGAGCTCTGCTGCCGCCCGATACCCGCGCATTCGCTCAGGGTGCTTTGGGGACATCTTGTCTGTGATCAGGAGGAGGTTAAGATGGAGAGAACTCTGCATCACACCTATTGCTGTCTGCCGAAAACATGGCCACCACAGACAGAGAGAGAAACACACACAGACAAGGAGATTGAGAACATTCAATCTGCATTGGATACAGTGCCAGAGGGACATCAGTCCTCATGTCACAGCTGAGATTTCTTTGCAAATCAGCCTCACAAGCAGGACAGCTTTTAAAGCAGGAGTGATCTAGTCTGGGTTGTTGTGGAAGCACTTAACCTCTTGGCTTTGCTTATTCCCAAGATGAGAGTCTGAAGACCACAAGAGTTCATCACTGGCCTCAGGGTAGTCAGCGACTAGGCAGGGGGACTGCTTAGATACAGCAAGCTAAAGTCTAGAGGGGCAAGGAAGTGGAGAGGGAAGGCCAGCAAACACTGAACATAGGAGTGCCCTGAATCACTGACATCCAGCACCCGGCCTAAATGGGAGCAAGAAAGTGGGAAGGATTTGCGGTGTCAGGGTTGGTGTCTCCCCTTATTTCCTACCTTTAGCATTAAGCTGTGCATAGGATGGGGATGAGTCCCGAGTTGCAGCAACCCCAAGGCCTGGGCATTCTAGAGTGCTGAGGGTTAAAATTGCCTCTGCAGTCCCACACTGGCAGAAGACCTGGAGCTGGCTGTCCCTTGTCCCCTGGATGACGGCCAAGTGGGCAGCACACACTGGCCCTCTGTGATGAGACAGGGCTGGCACTGCCCAGGAAGCCACCACATCATCTCCAGGCACTCACTCACTCACTCGTCATCTCGCTTCTCCTTCCTCCCACTTCCTGCAGCCCCTCCCTCAAACTAAACAGCAGCCAGGCCAGACCTGCTGCCTCCCCCGTGCCACCAAAACCACAGAGGCACACACTGTGCAGCTCCCCGCCAGCGCCAGCGGGAGAAGGAAGTTTCCACACACTCCAGGAGTTAAAAGGACAGGGTCAGGGAGTGCACACCAGCAAGAGCCGCGCACCAGAACGCACCTAGGTTTTGGCAGCCAGGTCTCTGCCATCAGCCTAATGTTTATTAGACATTTTGTATCCCTTGGCTTCTCTGGTGGTGTGCAGATGGGGCAGGGGACAGCAGAGGGGATGCAAAAGAAGACCTCATGGGAGAGGACGGGGCTGAAGCTGAGGGTGAAGCCATCCAGCATCAAAGGCCAAGACAAGGCTGGGCTGAGAGTGGGCAGGGCTGGAGCAGCAGTTCCTCCAGCAGCTCCTCACAAAGGTGTGCCTGTCCATGCAACCTTGTGCAAGAGCGATCAGCAGAGCTCATCAACATGGCCGGGTCACATCTGACTCTCCCGGAAAGCCCACAGGGTAAGCATTGCCTAAAAATGACTAAAGTATGTGGGAGAAACAGTAAGGGCCTCAGAATGGGGAGAGAAACTTTTGGCAGCACTCAGTGTGATCTGCATGACCCCATTCCCTGCTGACCAGCAGCATTCTTAGATGTAAACAGCATATGCACTGGGAATAAATATTTACGAAAAACCAAGCTACATCAGCAGAGCTGGGAGGGATTTGGGCCAGAGACTGAAGGAGGCACTGTTAATTGCAGCACCTTGATAGGACTCCAGAGTGTCTGGAAAAAAAACTACGAACAACATGTGTACTGCCAGTGGAGGGGACCGGCTGAACAGCTTAGGACTTCTTGGTCAGGGAGACAGCCTGGGTGCTGAACAGGACGCCATGGAGCAAGACCCCAAAGCATCATCAGAAATGCATGAAGAGCAATGATCTAATGAATTGCCAAAAGATGCAGTGGAGGCTTCCAAGGGGTCAGCAGGCCTGGACAATCATAAATATAAGAAGAACATCCCTGCTGACGCAACTTGGATGTTCCCAAAGGGCTCTGAGGACAGTGGAGCGGGATATAGCTTTTCTGTCCCCAGAAATATTCTGTGATTTTTGAAATGCATTTTTCACATCCCTTATCAAGATGAAAAAAACAAATCCACTTTTTTTTTTTTTTTTTTTTTTTTAAGAAAAAAATTAATTTCTACAGTATTTCATTCTGGAAACAAAATGTTGCATTTCCAAAACAAAATACTCTCTCTACTGGTAGGCTACACCTGGACTGGGGAATGTGTCAGGTCTCTTAGATGATCCTTGGCATTGGCTTGAATAGGCATAGCTTTGAAACAGGTTGGGCCGTTCTCCTGTGATTAAATTGAGCACTGTTGTAGCTATCCAGAATTCTGCAAAAGACCTCATCAGCAATGATAAAGTCTCAGCCTTGCAGCCATCAGGTCTTCTGAGACCTATTGCCTCCACAGCAATGAGCCCAGTGAACTGCTGAGATTTCAGAGGAGCCTAAATCTTTGGCCACCCTCTATTGCGGGGAGGAGCACTAGAACCCTGCCACTGACAGTCAGATAGGTGAGCTAATGAAGATGGCCAACACGGAAGCATTCTACGTCTGATATTTTTTTGTTGAAGTCATGAATTCTGGAGTAAGAGACAGAGGGGATGGGAAAAATTGTGCTGGGGAAGTTTCCAATCTGCTGTTGAATATGCCTTCAAGTAGTCGGGCTTACGTCAAGCTCTGTGTGCTGGGTGATGAAGAAAAACCTGCCTTCTGGGAGCAGGTCACTCGAGTTTCCATGTTTCTCAAGGCCTCTCAGCCAAAGAGAGGGGATCCTGGCTGAGCAAGGTCTGCAGGCATGGCACACATGACAAATGCCCATGGAAGGAAGCGGCACTGATGGTAGGAGTGGTAAGAAATGGAGTTCTCTGCCCACCAACACCCCAAATTTACTGGAAAGCTAAAGGAACTGCCATGTCTCACATCCTCTCCCCACCCCACTTGCACACCACAGCACAGTATTTGCTTCCAGTCCCTGTATGGAGTAGCAGTGACGAGCTGCGTGGCTTCCTCAACCCCATCCACACCATTGCTGTAACCCTCACACACATCTGGGCATACAAACTCTTGGGCCAGAGGATGCCCACGAGGAGGAGGCCAAGTGCCAGGGTGAGGGCTGCGGGGAGCTGGTAATTACCACAGGGTTGTACTCTGTCACCAGGCGGAGCTCGTTTCTTCGAATGAAATGAGTCATCTTCTCAGCATCAACATCTTGGCTGTTCATATCCAGATCTCTCCGGTCATTGTCTACCTGAAGACATGCAAAGACACCTACAGTCACAGCTGTCCTCTCCTCTCAGCACCCCTCCAGAGGCACTGATGGCACTCATCCATGGAGGCACCCACTCCCTAAGACATCACCCCCTTCCTGCCCCCCTCCCACCCCGCCCCATAATCCCCACTTCTGGAGGTCCAGAACCTACAGAGATCAGCCTGCACTTCAAGATAAGGATCTTCCACCCTCCTTCAGTCTCCCAAGGGCAAGGCAAACTCATGGCATAACAGAAATCACTGAGGACTCCAGCCATCCTTACAGTATCAGCTCCTGATGCACTGGAGACAGGGAGGATTAGCTGATAAACTATTCTAGGCATTGTGGGGAGAGATCATTAAATAGCCTAACTCCTTGCATCGATTTTGGCTTTACATCTCTTTTTAAAAAATCTTCATCTGCTTATTCTAGTTCTTCTACAAGTAATAAACATTGGCATGAGTCTGTATGGATTTCCTGGAAACGTTGTGCAAGCAGGAAACCTCTCCAATAAAAAGAAGACCTTTTTTTTTCTAGTACAGAAGAAAAAGAAAAAAAATCAAGCCCAGCACATTTTAGCTTTAGAGGAAAATCCATCTTGCCACACATTTCCCCACACTCTACCCCCCTACACCTCAACGATGTGATTTTATTGAAGTTTTCGTTCATGATATGGTAAACAGAAAAAAGCAGGCAACCGTTGATAGCTAAACCACCTGAAAGGGCAGAGCTGCTGCACACCTAGTACCACCACAGGACGTGACTGAGTTAAGCCGTGAGGACGCTGGGCTTTGACACGCAACAGGATCAAAGTTTGGGATTTGAAGGCCTTTGATACATACATTGAACAAGGTTCTTGAGGAAAGGTCCAGATGCACACCCCAGATTTTGTCCTCCACTTCTGTACGACCACTGAAAGTGCTTGTGTTAGTTTTTCCGGTGGTGGGCAGACATCTAAAGCCCTTTTTGCTATTCTGTGGTCATTGGCAAGGTCTTTGATCTGGTAGAGGGCCATAGCACCCTGTCTGGCGACTCAGACTGGTGCTTTTGAGACTGTGCAGCCTGATTCCTCTCATAGGAATAAAATGAAAGGGCAGCTCTACTCAGTGAGATCAGGCCAGTGGAACACCTGGGCGGGTGAGATCAGACAAACCTTGGGAACCAATCTAAAGCACCTGGACTCCACAGAAAGTCTTCTCTTAACTTTCCTGGGCTTTGGGTTTTCCTGATTTCCATTTTGGGATAACAACATCTTAAATCTGTGCCCAACATTTATGATTTTAAGAAAATAAGGCTGGAAAATAGCCTGCATCTAATAGTTTAAACTCTAGTCAAAATGTCTTTATCACTCTGTATCTGTTAATTGTGTTCTTTTTAGGTCTATCAGGCCAGATTCCTCATTAGAATAAATCTGTTTCCCTCCACTGTATGCAAAGAAATCTCATCAGTTGACAGCAGCCCCTCCTACTCCTGTAATTATGGTTTAAACTTCTAATCATTATAAGTGTTTCATACTCTGCAAAAGCAAAGAAAAAAATGAGTTTATGCCTCTGATTCACTGCTATACTTGTATCTCTCTATTCTTCACATGAATATTTTATTCCAAATTCCTGTCTGTTTTTTTTCTTTTCCTTTTTATCTCTGACCCCTTACTCCTACACAGTATTCAGCACAGAAAAATAATGTACCTGAATAACTTAATTTAAGAAAAATTGACAATTAGACAAGTGAATTGTCAACCACATTTGAACCTGATTAGTGTATTAGTTTCTTGGTTGGCTTTTTTTCCTACTAAACAAGAGTTTAGCTGCAAAAAACTGCACTGTGAACAAAGAATATTCAATATAATCCAATTTCCATCACCAGACACTTTCTTTTATCAAACACCCTCCCAATGCAGTCATCCTCACTATCTGCCACAGTGCAAAAACAAAGGATCTTTTCAATATTTCTGGAAGAAAACCACCATGACTAAGAACCAAAACTGAGATGGGTGTTGCTTCAAATTGCAACATGTGCACATAGCAAATAAAAGGTTAACTAAAAGGGCCTGCCTACCTATTGCTCACTCTTAGACCATTCTCTTTGAATTATGTGGATAACACCAGTGGTAAATGCAGTGCAGGAAATTATGAGAAAGAAAGGGGAACAAACTGGCTTTGTCCAATCTTTGTCCAACCTGGATCTAGAACATGGCCAAGCTGACACATTTAGTTTCCCTAGTACACATGGTGTGTGCCCATTCCCCCACCCCGTGTGCTTAGAGCTCTGGTGACGCAACACTTCACGGGCTTTTAGGACATCTTGTGCTACCTAGGGCCCCTCTCCTCCTCCGATACACACCTCTCTCCAGTTTCCAAGTGCCATACTTGTGTGAGAAGGCACCACACGAGGAAATTGATATAACCAGCAGAACACTTGCTCTTAGCTTTTGTTGGTACTCTTGAAGCAAGTACACAGCTCTTCCCAATAGTCTCCTTAAATTTCAGCAAACATAGCTTCAAATTCAGTGAGGCACCAGCACTTACAGCTGGAGTCAACAAAGGTTTGATATTGCACAGCATCCACCCCTAAGAAACTGCAGAGTAACATTTTTAATGGGCCCATGCCCAAAGCATATTTAAGGAATAACACTGCAAACCACAGTGTAGGGGACAGAAAAGAGTGTTTGGGATTTCTTTTGGTGGCAGAGCATCTGTAACTGCAGAGACCCAGTCTGAATCTGGTTTCAGTCACAATGGAAAAGTTGTGCATTCAGGGAGACAGCTTTGTCTGCCTGAAGTGACACTTGGCAAGATTTGATATCAAGCCTGCTGTGTTGATCCAAGCCTCTAGATGCTTTTCATGTGTCTCAGGAGCTTTTCCAAAACCACAGAAATCCCATCCAAGTAACACTGAGCTCCAGGCAGGTCACTCAGAAACACAGACGTCGTTCTTTGCAAAGCACTGGGTGCTGAACGGGATCCATCGGGCAAACACTCAAAATGGAAAATCTCATCAGGTGCAATAAATGTTGCGTGTCTCAGTGATGGGCACTCTGCAAGCGAGAAGCCAAAGACCTCTTTGGGGCAGGAAGCTCTACAGATGGGCTGTTAGATGGGCAGGCAGAGCGCCTATCAATGACAAGCCTTTCTTTGGCTTGCTCTAAGGTGAGATGACCAGCTTTAACCTTCTTCTTTATCACTATTACCCGGAGATTTCCCTTCTTCTGTACCGCGACTGCGGGCAGATTTTAAGCGCTCGCCCTAGAGCCCATCTCACCAAAAGCAGCGAGCAGGGGAACTCCTAAACCAGGGCGCTCAGCTGGGAGAAGCAGCTTTCGGCCCGGCAGCGTGCTTCCCCGGGAGGGAGCCCCTCGGGGGCG